TAGTGGTTTTATTGGAGTTCAACGGTTACTTAAGTATTCATTCAACTTCGGGGAATGACTGCTCTGTTGCTCGTCTGAGAGAAAACCTTTTTTCGTGAAAGGAGGGGGGGGGGGGGGGGACAGCGTATTCTATAGAAATTCCGGATAGGTGCACGTGGGGAAACAGTACCACCTAGGTAGTTCCAGTCATCATGGATCGGTGGATGTGGATGTTCCCATTGACAGTTTTCGAAGGCGGATTGTTTGTGCTGGCTAACCAGCGGACAGGACAGCACATGAACAAACAGGTATTAGTAGTGTATTATTATTATTGATTAAATTAATCCACTAGTCACTTAATGAATCTACTATCTACTATGTATTGTCTCGCTTTATGCGCAGATCGACTTTTGAATGAATCCATGGATGATGCCTCTGATGATCGGATCCTAAATGAGAATACCAGCACCCACGATGCGTCGACAGTACGCCGTAGACACAAGAATAAAAACCAAATAGTTAAATCAAATAATATTAGTAATCATATCGAGTAACTTATTGCATGGATAGGATGGATCTATCGTACTCCGTGGTTATATCCTTTTTGAATCCACGCTCTATCCCCGATCCATGGGCCGTTCGTTGCTTTTTCTTCTCTTTGCCTTTTTGCCTTTGCTGTGGTGCAGCTCCTCCTACGTCATTGCTGCCAAGGCCCAGGAACACGACGCACGCCCTGGTGGTGCTTGTTCTTTCATTCCTCCGTTGACTTTTCCTCCCTCGTACGGCCCTCGCTGTTGGGACTGTTGCTGGGGACTACTGCTGGGGACTGCTGCTGCTCTTGTTGCCGGCCAACCCACCCAAGCAGCCGCTAACTACCCACTACCCACTACCCACTACCTCCCTCACTCCCTCACTCCCTCACTCCCTCACTCTCTCACTCTCTCACTCACTCTCTCACTCCCCCCATCCACGCCTACCAGAATCGGCATCTCCACCACGACCACCTCATCTCTTCCCCATTCCTCCATCCACTCCCATATCACACCACCCTCCACCCACCACCCACGCCATCACCTGTCAATCCTCGTCCCCGTTCTTCGTCCTCCCGAGTATTGCACTACCCATTTAATACTCCCGATCTTTCGCTGTTCAAAGGGTCAAGGGGCAGGCCTTGCGTGTCCATCGCCGTTCGAACGGGAAATGATATGTAAATGCCAATGCCAGCCTTTGTCTCAGGCGATATAGTCTCCAATATCACGACGAAGTTTAATTCTCCGCTGGCGGAAGAGGATCAAATGTGCCCGGAATTATGAGGACCCCCCCGCCTCCCTCCCCAGTCGATGCCGCTTCGTCCACTGCCTCCTCCAAATACCCTCATCACCTTTCCTCAAGGTCTCGCCTCTCCGCTGCGTGCCCTTTTGTCTCTTACGACCCTGACCCTTCAGCGTTCTCGATGCACCAGTATGATTTTTCTGCAGATGATGCGCCTGCCCATTCTCTAAAATCTTCTTCTTCTGTTGTTGCCGCTGCCGCCGCCGCCGCTGCCTCCATGCGCGAGCCTTTTGCAGAGCCCGCTCCACCCCCCGAACATTCACATCATCATCCTTATCATCACCATCGAAGACCGGGCCTATCGCCTCGTGGCCAGCGGCAGAGCATGCACACCTTGGAGGAACTGCGGAATCAAATGGAAGGAGTCTCTGTCTTCCACTCCCGCTCCAGTTCTCACACTTTCTCCACCAAGCCTCCTCCGGTGTCAAGCCATGACATGAAGTCGCCTCGCAAGGCCAAGAGAAGCATCCGTTCCACCCCTTCGTCGCCCTCCAACATCACAGTTCATCCGGCTTCGTTGAAGCCCAGCGGCAACACTGATTCCTCCTCCTCGTCGTGCACTGTCAAATCGCCCAAGCGGACCGATCATTCTGAACTGTCTGCCTTTCCATTCCCACCCCCTTCATCCTTGGTCGCGTCCGTAGACCAATCTCTCGACTCATCGATTGATGCTACTAGCCCATCGTGAAGCGGCTGTCGATACGTAGAACCAGGGATC